AATAAGGTTACTCAATGGGAAAAGGATTTTCCCAATCAGAGAATAAGAACTCGTCAGCAAAATATAGTTATTGATCAGCCAGGAGTAAACGAATATGGGAAATTAGCTGACACTCCAGAAAAATGTTTTGACTTGTTCATAACACCATAAATGATTGAAGAGATAATTTATCATACCAACCAAAAAATTAAAATTGTAAGTCAAAATTATAATCAATATGAAAGTTCTACAAAAGAAGTTGATATAACTGAATTCAAAGCATTATTGGGAATTTTTTATTTAGCTGGAATTTTTAAATCTAACCATCAAAATATGTCTGATTTATGGAAATCTGATGGGTTTGGAATTGATATATTTAGAGTAACAATGCCTCTTAAAAGATTCAGATTTCTAATTCATGCAATGAGATTTGATGACATACTAACAAGAGAAGAGAGAAAGGTGGTAGACAAAGCAACACACATTAGAAATATTTTTCAAGATTGTTGATAACTGCCACAAATCTTATACAATATCAGAATATGCAACCCTAGATGAAATGCTTCCAGCATTTCGTGGTAAATGCCCATTTAGACAATACATGCCAAACAAACCATCCAAATATGGCATAAAACTATACTCCTTGGTGGATGCCAAAATATATTATACTCTAAATCTTGAAATATATACTGGAAATCAACCAGAGGGACAATATCAAATAAGTAATAAACCAGCAGATGTAGTCAATAGATTAATTCTTCCAATATCAACATTCCATCATATTAATTTTCTCTCTACAAAAATAAATATTTACCCTTATTTATATATTTTGGTTTTCTATTTTTCTATATTTTTTAAAAAAAAATCAAACAACTTTTACTTTTTATTTCCTTTTTTATTTAATCAATAACATATATCGAAAAAAAAAATATAATATAAAAAACATTCTTGTTTGTTTTTCTTTCCACGCTTATATACTTGTTTTTTTTTTACCAATTCATCCTTTATTTATTATTTTTTTTTATTACACGTCAATTATCTTTTTTCTTTGTTTAATATTATTTATTCACGTATTTTTTTTTATATTATTTATTCACGTATGTTACGCTATTATCTTCCTCTCGTGCTAAGTTTAATGCTTGTTCCATTAACACATCATAATAAAAATATTGATAATAATAACCAACAAAAACCTGAAATCATAACTTTTTATAATATGACTAAAGGTGGTGTAGACATGGTTGACCAAATGACAGAAAATTATTCAATTTCAAGAAGGTCATATAGATGGCCCTTAACCATTTTTTATACACTTTTAAACATAACAACCATAAATTCCCATATTATATATACTGCAAACACAAACAAAACAATTACTAGAAGTAGTTTTATTAAAAAATTATCTATGGAACTTATTACTCCCCATTTGGAAATAAGAAAAAATTGCCTCAGATTGCCGCGAATTCTAAAAGAATCTATTTACAATATATTAGGCAAACAACAAAGTGAGAATATTAAGCCTTCAATAGGAAGGTGTGGTGTGTGTCCTAGAAAAAAGGATAAAAAAACTAAATATTTTTGTCAAATATGCAAAATAAATTTATGTTTAGAACATATTAATATTTTATGTAACAAATGTTTTGAATGTCAAATTTAACATATTTCAATGTTCAATATTTTTTTTATATTTGAATTTATCAGAGTAATTTTTTTTAATATTGAAGAATAAAGATCCATGTTATGAATTATCAGGATTATATGATGGATAAGTTATTTTTTTAATTTTTAATTTCCAATTTAAAAAAAGTAAGCTTTTTTTAAAAAATTTTGGCACAAATTATAATTATCCTCACCATCTTTAATCTGAACTTAAGAAATAAAAATAAATAAATATTTTATCAAGTTTAAGGTTAGTTCTATCTTATATTCAAATATTAAATCAAAATAATGAATATAACTGGACATATATACATTTGAAATTGGGGTCTATTAAACCCCACCGGAGTACTAACGTCATTTTTTTCACCGGAGTATTGAAGGGTTAATTTAAAATAAAATCCGCACTCATACTGTGGAACGTCGGTTGCCCTCTCGGTTATAAAATATGGAATCTATTTGCCAATAAAGAATTAACTTTTTTAACAATGTATTGATAATATATTGCTATAATGATTTTAATTTAATTATAGACCTATTATAATATAAATAACTATCAAAATATTATGAATGCAAAAGAGTTATTTAAGCATGAATTGAATCAAAAACCTGTTCATTTCTAAAAATACATTATTATAGTATATATTGTTTGCCATGAATATGAGTTTACTGATAGAATATCTACCCTTTTATATTGATTAATAATCCAGAAATCGTCTTATTTGGAAAATAATGATTATGTATATAATATTGGTCGAAATTTAGCATTCTATTTATATTATAATAGGTCTATAAAAATTATTATAGCAGTATATTATCTATACATCATCAAAGAGGTTAACAGAAAGTTTATATAAACTGAGCCTCGATAGTAGGCTAAACCTACCCCCCGTAAATGACGACCCCCCCCCCCTTAACCTCTTCAAAAAAATTGGATGCAAACTTTTCCTACCCCCTCCTCTCAATACCCTTATTATTAAAAACGTGTTAGTAATAATGTAAAAATAACGTCCCAGAAGGCGATAGATTTTTTATAAGGGAGGGGGGTATTTGGGGAGGGTTTGGTTTCAGTGAATATCCTGTCATGTGGGAAGAGCGATTTAATTCTTATTATTGAAAATGATCCATATAATTGTCAAAATTACAGAAGTATAAACTAATATACTATTGTCCAAAACTTTACTAAACACTGAAAAATAAAAAGTTAAGAGCATACTCGAAATATGAGAGATTCAAATAAGCTTCATGCCTGGAAGATCAGAGATTTACGAATTTCTCACAATTATAAAAATAAGTCAAAAATACTTAGAAATAAACTTGTCTGCTGGATTTTTTAAGCAATAAAAAGATGCCTGAAAATAATAAATTAGAATCAACAGGGACTAAAATTATATAAACTAACAACCAGGGGCGGACTGAAGATACTGCTAACTCGTGGGTATTTTTTCTAACTGCCTCATATTTTTGAAAGGCTTTAATTATATCATTATAAATCTAGAGTCAATGGAACTTTTTCGAAGGAATTAAAAAACTTCTATGGTTTTGTTATATATTTTGTCTATTTAGAAAAGTAATTATCCTAGCATAATTAAATTTAAAGTTTCAGAATATTATATTTAATTTTTATAATATCCTTCATATAATAAACCATTTAATACTCATTTGCTACTTATATTTTTATTTCTCTTTAAAATAATTTCAAAAATGCAACAAAATAATTTTAAAATTATTTAAAATTTTAAAAATCAAGATTTAAGAATCCTGGCTGGCCTTAGAAATAAAGAAAATAGGAATCAAATATGGCTCGAAAATTTTTTGTTTTAAAATCTGGGCAAGTAAAAATGTGTGATCTATATAGATATCTCTGATATTTATGTTGTAATTGTATATATAATAATACACTTGCTTATCCAGCAATCTTTCAAATTTATATTTTTATTAATTATGCGTCCATTTTTTACAGCTAACTATTGCGACAAAACTGAAACCAAAACTAACTACAGCTATAACAATTATCCTTCTATAAACAAAAAGAATTATAACACTGAAATACGATAAAATAATCGTTAAATAAAACTATGATACATCAAAGTCTTAAATGTTTTTTTCAGATATATTATTGTCGATACTTTAATAATTCTGAAATTTTTTGTATTTATCATACTTTATATGTATACGTAATACTTTAATCCGTGAAGTAAACCTATCACTTCCCTCTTTAGAAATTATGATATCATTCTTTAGACCATCATAATTTTAGGAATATTCCAGGTTGTTATACTTTTGATTTACAGGTGAATGTATTCTAAAAAAAATTCGTAGGGTTTCTAAAGTTTTGCTCACATATGAAAATCTCGAGAGCTAAATAGTTTTAATCTTAAAAAAACTTGAACGTAATAATTAGTGGAAATCTTGGTCTTTTGCTATCCGATGAGGAGCTGAGGGTGACCATAAGGCATAGACATGGCTGTAACCTAGTCAATGTAAAGGGTGCGGGAAAGATTTCGATTCTAATGGTGGATATGGTCTAACCTGTTTATATTCTAAAGTACGGTTCAGTTGACATACAGGTATTAACTCTATGATCTCGAACAAATTAGGGTTTACAACTATCCAAACCTCCTGGAAGCAGATGGGCTCACAAATATTCCTTGGTTTAGAGGAAAACTTTTTATTTGGGATTTCACTTGTGTCATCCTATTTTCCTCTAGCCCAGAAGTACTTATGATTTTCACTTTATCCCAAATGTTATTTCTACCAGTGGGTCTTTAGACCCCCTAGGCTAATATTTAAGATTTTATGTAAAAAACAAATTAATGGTGATCAGAGATCCTCTTTTAAATTGTTACAATAAACCCAAATCACCGTGTTCCGAAGCACCTATATTAGTCTTCCTAAGGCTTAATGAAAGCATTTTTTGCCACTCCCTCCCGTTTCTATATTTTCTTTATAATTTACTTATAACTTTCGTCTTTTTAAATGTTTATTTAATTTTTTTTAAATGTTACTTTTGATATTTTTTAATATAAATGAAGAAATAATATTTTTTAAGGAATTGGAAAATAGCAGCACAAAAAAATGCCAGTTTTGCAGTGGCTCATTTTAATATATTATAAATTTTCGAAAAGATCTATTTCATGGAAAATTATTTTTTGAAACCTTCATAAGTTAGGTCAGTGAGTTTTAATCATAATTTTTAAGATGGAAATAATTGTTGGAAGTTATGAAGGTTTATTAATGGGTTATAGTATCAAAAGTGGAACAAAAACCGTACAAGTATATTTAAAAAGGGTTAATATATTTTCATTAATAAATAAGAATTGCCGTTCTATTCCAACTTTTATTGATAAATCTCATTCATATAGTGTGAAATGCATAGATGTGTCTTCAAACAATATTATGGCTACAGGAGGTATTGACGAAGTTATTAACATAGTTGATTTAAATAAAAGAATCTCGATTGGATCTTTAGTAAAACATGAAAGTATCGATTTTAATTGTGCATTAATTTAAAAAAATATTTTTAGGTGAAATAACTTCCTTGAAATTTTTAAACACTTCTTACTTATATGCATGTGGAATGGATGGAAATATATCAATATGGAATTTGAATAATTGGAATTGTGAAAAAGTTCTATTAGCTCATCAGTTATAAATATTATGACCTATTTTTCCATCTTTCTATTTATATAGGGGACCTATATCATCAATTGCGATTCATTATTCTGGTAAACTCATGCTTTCTATAGGCCAAGATAAAAAATTAATAACATGGAATTTAACACAGCAAAAAAAAGCATTTGTAACAAATTTAGACAAAAGTGAAATAACATTATAATAAATTCTATCTCATTATAACTAAGATTATGATCAAGTTATATGGTCAATAGGTGGTTCTTATTATGCTTTGTTTTCCTCACAATACTTACAAATATATCAATTGGAAACTGCTAGTTTGTATTTATCATTAAAGTTTGGTCATAAAGCAACAACTTTATGTTTTATAGAAGTTAGATGCAATTAATAATTCTTTAAAATTAAATCCATATAGGATGATTTATTATTAATTGCTATTGAAAAAGGATTCCTTAAATTATATAATTTGTCCAAAAAATGTACATTGGCCAAATTTAATACCAAACAAAATAGGTAAAAAAAAAATTTATATATGTTTAAGCTAACTTTCTTTAGCACACTTTTATCTTATAAAGTTTTCACTTTATTAAGAGAAAAATCTCAATTTTTAATAAAAGTGTATTTATTTTATAACTCTATTACTTTTAAATAACATAAACCAATAAGATTAATTACCCGATCTATAATAAAATTGTTGAATTTTGATAAAAAAATTGTTCATCTATTAATCTATAGGTAGTTAAAAAGATTACACAAGATTAGTAATAGATTGAAATTTTTTTTTAAACTTTCATCACAAGAGCATCTATTTGATTGCCTGAATGAGAAAAAAAAATTTCCTATTTAAAGAGATAAAATTTTAATTGAGTAACAACCCTTAGAAATTATAAGCCTCATTGGTGAGAGAAAAATTCTTACTCTGCACTGTGTTTCTTAGGGCTAAATTGTCTCAAACTATAGGTATAATTGAAAAATCAATATACCTTGAATCCAAATATTTTTTCTACCATCTTCAAGTTTAAGTTATATTTTATTCAAAAACTTAGAGGCTGAAGTCCTAGTTTTTGTTGGTTTAGCCATTTTTGGAGTTGGCTAAAAAATGGAGCAATTTATCTACACACCTCAAGTATTTTTATCTCAACAAAATATGTCTGAACACCTCCATTGAAAAATTAATATTTTTCTTCCTTAAATAATATTTAACAAAGCCACTGTTACAATTACTCCATTTATTTATCAAACAATATATTATTATAGAACTCCACTTTCAATAATTCAGATACCTGCAGGCCTGGCCTGGGTCCAAGGGCAGTGCCATATTTTATTGCTATCATTAGTTATAGAAATTAATAATAAATATAATATATTTTAAAAAATCTGGGCCAGACCTGAAAATATTGGGTCAGGCTGAAAAATATTTTAAAAAATAATCCGAGCTGGGCCTTGTAAATGGTAACCCTGCAGGTCTCTGCAATAATTTAATTATGAATTATTTTTTAGATACCCAGATAACAAATTACAAAAGTGACAGTGTTAAGGTTAGAGGAGACCGATACCACTTTTTGGAGGTTGATCAGATATCATATCTGATACAAATACTTATGAAATTTGAAATTTTTTTTAAAATTAAGACATCATTTTATTGGATCAGAAAATTATTTAATATAGTCCGACAGGCGATAAAAAGGATTAAATATCGGCCTGATCTGATAAAAAATAACACATCCCTAGTTAAGGTAGTGCATTACTTTTTTTGTAACTTTTGACCTTGTTTGTTCACTAACCTTCTATATTATGCTAAGCTGTGTGCATTTTTATTGAATGATTTTTAAGATATAAACATATTTTGGAGGCAAAGGTACATTAAAAATAAACTGAATAAAATTTTTGCATCTTTTTTATTTTATGGTAAAAATATATGAATTGTAGTATTTTTGTAATTTAATTTATTTTTAACAATATTTTTATTATATAATAAATCTTCAAAATTTTTATAATTATTTAAGATTAACTTAATAAATGTCTAAAATATTGAAACTTAATTTAGAAATTTTAGTGATTTTAAAATAAGGGAACTATATCCAACCTCTCGCGTTATTTTTTCCCCACCTTACCTAGGGTTAATCAAAGAAAAGATATTACAAATAAAATGTTACTTTGGTCATAATTATTAAGTTATTAAAAAGATGTATCAAATTTTAGTTTATTATTTTTGTAAAGTATGTGGTCTGTCCCTGTAACTGGATTCCATGAGCCAATCAACTATTTTATTTTTTTAAACGGCTAAAGGGTACGTTCAAACTCAAAAAAATAAGAAAAGGTTTACATATTGTTACTTTACGTGTCCACTGTACAAATGATGTTAAAACGCGTAAAGCGTTTATTATTTTTTAGTTTAGATATGCCCTAATTTATCTAGTATCAAATTTTATCCGGTTTTTAAAGAAAAGATATCAACTACCATCTCTTTATTTCCTTATCATTTTAAACAACTTTTCCATTGTTGATTGACACCTTTTTATATGCACTAAATTATCTTTATATTCCCTAAGGATTGACTATTGGGTCTCTTTCATATATTTTATACTTATATTTGCCATTTAAAATGTCCTGTATTTCTAAATTTATTTTTCATATTCAGTCATTTTTTCTCCATTATTTTATTCGAATTTATAATATTTTTTGAACTTTGCCAAAATATATATTTTAATAGATTTGCCAGTATCTATATTTTTTATTGATTTGCTAGTTAAACTTTCGTTTGTCCACATATAGACCATGTGAATGGTTTAAATTTAATATATATATTAAAAGGGTCAAACAAATAATACTAGTTAATGAAAATATTATTTCATCCACATCATCGGTGTGTTATCAGCCTTTGACCCCAAGTAACCAATCCCTTGATATATCGAGAAAATATTGCCGAAATTTTGACACAGGACTCAACAATAACATTAAACATAAAATCATAATCACCGCTTCAAGTGATGGTACGATCAAATTATTCGATTTGGATTTATTCAAGGTAAAAAAACGTTAGTCTACAAAAATTTAGTTTTGATTTTGTTAGTATTTACTATCGAGTTTTAAGAAAATGCCATCTATCTTAAATTAGAAAGCAAAATTGAATTAGGGAAAGAATAGAATATTATGTAAGGAAACGATCTAATATTATATTATAAAGATTAAGTTTAACGATCAATTCTATTGGGGAAAAAATTAAAATAAAATATCAGAGTTATGATTAACAGGAGAAGTTTATTGAGATGAATATCAGGTTTTAAATTGGAAAACATATTCTTCCACTAGCATAATAGAAGGTTAAATCTCGGTCTTCATGAAACATAAAACTAGGCTGAGGCTAGTGAATTGTAGAAAGCGTACCAATAATAAGGATTAACAAATTAGAATATAAATATTTTTTTAAAAATTAATTGCAAATAATAAACAGCTAAAATTAGAACAACTATTGGTCATCGACACCTCTTGCAGGATAACGTGCATGGCTATCTCTAATAGTAAAAAACACCATTACGAAGACAATTCATTAATCCGCGAAAATATTGTCAATAACAATATAATCGATTCGGAAGAAAGTATAACTCCTGATGATAAATTGATTGTCAACAAAAAATTAAAGAAAAGTATATAGAACCCCAAAAAGTCATAATTATTTTATATACATAAAAAAATTAAGGTAATAATATCAGAAGTTTCCTAATACCCTTTAAAAACATCCCGTATTTTTTTGTTAAACTTTATATAATGAACGTTTTGTTGGAAAAACAATTATTATTCGCTTATCAGATGATCTATTTATCAAAATTCTTTGGAATTCAAATTTTAGATAATATATTTTTCCAAAATATATGCGATATAAATTAATGTATAGAATTATTATTATTTTTTTTAAAAAAAAAGCTCTTTCTCTTAAATAATATTTAATTAATTCATTCTTTTTTATATGTATTATTAGTAAGTACACAATTTGCAATAATTTTATAATATTTATTTTCAACTTTTTTTATAATAAATGTTTACGTATAAATTTGTAATAATACAAAAAATTTTTAAATTGTGTAAAATATGGTCATAAAATTAGTAAAATAATTGTTTCTTCGGTTAACATGTCGATGTTATTTATTTTACATCTAAAAAAATATGAAAAAGAAGTTTCGTTCTTTTTAAAAATAAATCAATGCATTTTATAAGTCAACGTTTTATCCAATAGGGAATGCTGTCCTTGAAAGTTTAACGATATTTCTATATCCAAATCTCTCTAAATATATGGATTTTTTTTGGTAAGTATTACATTAAATTGAAAACAAAAAAATTTTATGCTAACTAGTTAATATAATTTTTCGAGAGTAAAAATAAAAAGCACTAGGTTTGTTTAAATTTTCTGTCTGAGTATGCTTTAAATGAGCTAATGAGAACTGTGCTAGATTTATTTATAAAATCTACAAAAACAAAAAAAATATATACCTCGTTTTTATCGTTCGCTTTAAGGCTAAAAACCCCATATAATTCTTCACCACGATTTATAGTCAGGTCATCGACGTAGAAAATAGTTTGTTTCCAATGAGTATATTCTTCCTCTGGGGCTTAAAAAAGTTATTTTTTCATATTGAGATTAGTCATCAAATTTAAAAGAGTAAACTTATGTTAACTATTAATCAATCTCAATAAATAACACGAGATATAAACACTAGTGTTTATCATTTTGTGTGTAAATTTTATTTTATTTTTCTAAAAAATTTTACAAGCTAGCCAGGACTTATAAATTTGGAGCTCATTATGTAGGAAAAATCATTTTAAATTTTCTACCGGACAAAAGATAATTAATATCGTTTCCCCCCCAATTTTAATCTTACCCAGCCCCCGGCCATATTTAGCAACTATTTTCTTCGTTATTAATATTAGATCAATATTCGAGCTTTGGTTTATAAAATTAATTCTTATTTTCAATAGGAATATAGGTTCCTATAAATTTTTATATAAATTTAAGATGGTGATTTGAAGCATGGAAAGATTTCTCCCACAGATGAAGAAAAAAAGTAATAATTGTGGATAGATATTCATATAACACTAAAAATCAATATTATATAATTTTTAATAAGAAAAAACCTGTCGATAATATAATTTTTGTATGGGATTTTGAAAATTCCACGGTAAAATAAGTGACAAGCCCATGAATATAGTCGTTTCTTTTAGCCCTAAGGAAAAATGGCGCTGAGAAATTTAAATCTTCAATTTTGATAGTGTACAAATCTATTTCCTAGTTTTTAAATATAAAAATATATTTTTTTTTTCGATTAAATGTATTTAAGAAAATTAATAATTTCAAATATGATAAAGGACAGTGTTGTGGTTTTAAAATTATGTAATTTAGTCATAGTGAAATATAACTTTTTAAAAATTATTTAGTTTAGTTGTAATAAAATATTAACGCGTAGAATTATTATTGTTTTTTTGTTTATTATTAGATATCAATTGTAGGAAAATATTGTTTTTTTAACGCGAAAAAAATATTAGTTTTTTTTGTTTATTATTATGTATTTATTGTAGAAAATATTTATTTATAAGGGAAAAAAAAGAAATAAAATTATTCTTATTCTTACGATTATAGATCAACTCTAAGGCTTAGGGTTTTAATAAGATAAATCAGTCTTTCAGTCTCTTCAATGGTTTTTAATATTACTACAATATCGTCGGTGTATGAAACGATCCTATTAGCAAAGTGAAAATTATCGTTTAACCCAAAGTTTGCCAAGTCAACTGCGGCATTTACTTCTTTTATGACTTTATTTATTATGATGTTGAAAAGAAGCGGTGATAGAGTGCAACCCTGTTTTACTCCTTTTTTTATTTTGAAATAGAGTGATATTTTATCATTTGTTTTAAAGCATGAAATTAATTTGGAATAATGGTTCTTTAAGATGGAGATAATGTTTGGTTCGATGCCGCACTCTGATAGTGCTTCCCATAAGGCGTTATGGTCTACATTATCAAAGGCCCTGCTAAAATCAATGAAAGTGTAATAAGAAGGGATCTTATATTTCCAGCACTTTTGCATAATTATTTTTAGTGATAAATGGGTTCTAAAATGTTTTTATTAGGCCGATATGCGCAGATATATTTAGGGAGAAGGTGGGGCGTTGATGTTAAAATTCTATTTTTGATAAGTGTCATAAAGACTTTTTAGACACAGGAGGTGAGAGCTACTGCCCGATAGTCGGCAAAATTCTTTGGTTCCTTGATTTTCTGGAAGTTGCGCAGAAGGGATTTATTCCATTCTACCGGATTTTCCCACTTTCCCAAATTTTATTAAAGAGAGCTAGGAGGAAAGAAGAGATTGTGTTCGAGGATATTTTTAAATATTCAGCCGCGATGTTGTCTAAACCCGGAGCTCTATTGTCCCGTAATTTCTTTACAATATTTGAAATTTCATTAGAAGAAAAACCAGCCAATGGATACGATTGTGTGAGTATTCATTGTGGTTAGAGGAGTTGCCTTACGGGAGTCGAAGACCGACATATAATGATCAAGCCAAAGTGCCATTTGCTCGTCTTGGTATATTATGATTTTCCCATTCTCTAAGACGATCATAGGGAGTTTCGTGAAGCAACGAGGTTTGCAGAAATACTTCAATTTTTTATATGCATCATAGATTCTGTTCTCTTTCATGTCTTTATCAGTGTCTGCCGCTTTTTTTGCTATAAAAATTATCCTATAATAACCTTTGAATTTCTTTCCACAAATCGCTGTTTGAGCCGTTCTTTGTTCTTAGTTGATATATTTTTTTCAAGGGTCTCACCAGACATCCATTCTTTCCTTGACACAAGATTTACATTTGGTAGTCTTTCATAAGATTCCGCCAGTTCCTTTTTGAAAAGTTCCCAACAATCTTCAACATTTCCATTCTGGTAACAATAATAAAGTTTACTTTTTTCGAAATAAGTGACTGTCCAAAGAGTGTTTTATTTCCCTGCATTAGAAACTTATTTAGTTTACGTGGAAAATTTATGTTAGGAGAGTTTACGTTGGTAGCCATTGAGTTAGGAATGCTATTATTATGATCCCCAAATGTTTTTTATTTTGATATTTGCAGTAACCATCTTATGATCTGATATGTTGACCCTGGTAGATGCTTTAACATCTTCAAACCAACTGTGAATATTAGAGATAAAAAAGTTAATTTGAGATTTCTGCCTACCTCTCACAAAGGTATACTTGTTAATTTCGCGATGGCAAAAATAGGTGTTTTCGACCTTGAAATTTTTATTACTACAATAATCTAGGAATTTTGTACTATCTATATCATTTGATTGTTGGATGGCAGCCTGCCCGATAACCCCTCTACTGATATATTCACTGTCTTTACCAATTTTCATGTTAAGATCCCCCAGGATTATTATGTTATATCTATTAAAGAGTGAGTTTAATATATTTATCATTATGTTTAAAAAAGTTGTCCTCATATTCCTATTTGGTGGAGCGTAGAAGTTCGCAATAATAATAGGTCTAAACTTGGTGTTTAGATATAGAAGTCCGCACCTCTCCGACACGGGTACAAATTATATTATGTATTTATGTAAACGCTTCTTTATCAGGAAAGCGATTCCGGCCCAACCAAAGTGGTCCCCGAGCAAAACATCTTATATTCACTAAAATTCGCCATACTATTATCTGGGCAGTGAGTTTCCTGGATACCTATTATAACTATTCCTTCTGAATAAGTAAAAAGATAGCTGACAGAGTATATTGTTTTAGTCCTAAATTTATTTTAAGGAATGATACTAGTTTAAATTTCTATTCATATTCTGTATCTATATTATTCACGGTTGGTTATATAGGAACTATTCGCAGGCAAGCTACTAATGGCTTCATTAAATATTAATGGAATAAAAAACAAGTTGGCGGTTCATTTAAGATTGCTGAGGACATGTGTCAAGGAAAGAATGGATGTCTGGTGAGACCCTTGAAAAAAATATATCAACTAAGAACAAAGAACGGCTCAAACAGCGATTTGTGGAAAGAAATTCAAAGGTTATTATAGGATAATTTTTATAGCAAAAAAAGCGGCAGACATTGATAAAGACATGAAAGAGAACAGAATCTATGATGCGTATAAAAAATTGAAGTATTTCTGCAAACCTCGTTGCTTCACGAAACTCCCTATGATCGTCTTAGAGAATGGGAAAATCATAATAGATCAAGACGAGCAAATGTCACTTTGGCTTGATCATTATATGTCGGTCTTCGACTCCCGTAAGGCAACTCCTCTAACCACAATGAATACTCACACAATCGTATCCCCCGGCTGGTTTTTCTTCTAATGAAATTTCAAATATTGTAAAGAAATTACGGGACAATAGAGCTCCGGGTTTAGACAACATCACGGCTGAATATTTAAAGATATCCTCGAACACAATCTCTTCTTTCCTCCTAGCTCTCTTTAATAAAATTTGGGAAAGTGGGAAAATCCGGTAGAATGGAATAAATCCCTTCTGCGCAACTTCCAGAAAATCAAGGAACCAAAAAATTTTGCCGACTATCGGGCAGTAGCTCTCACCTCCTGTGTCTAAAAAGTCTTTATGACACTTATCAAAAATAGAATTTTAACATCAACTCCCCACCTTCTCCCTAAATATATCTGCACATATCAGCCAAATAAAAACATTTTAGAACCCATTTTATCACTAAAAATAATTATGCAAAAGTGCTGGAAATATAAGATCCCTTCTTATTACACTCTAATTGATTTTAGCAGGGCCTTTGATAATGTAGACCATAACGCCTTATGGAAAGCACTATCAGAGTGGGGCATCGAACCAAACATTATCTCCATCTTAAAGAACTATTATTCCAAATTAATGTCATGCTTTAAAACAAATGATAAAATATCACCGCATTTCAAAATAAAAAAAGGAGTAAAATAGGGTTACCTCTATCACCGCTTCTTTTTAACATCATAATAAATAAAGTCATAAAAGAGGTAATTGCCGCAGCTGACTTGGCAGACTTTGGGTTAAACGAAAACTTTCACTTTGCTAATAGGATCGTTTCATACGCCGACGATATTGTAGTATTATCATAAAACATTGAAGAGACTGAAAGACTGATTTATCTTATTAAAACCCTAAGCCTTAGAGTTGGTCTAAAGATAAATTTCCAAAAAACTGTTATCATTACCTCGCCTAATACACCACCACTCCAAAATCTTTTGGTAGGTGAAAACGTAATCAAAAAAGTAGACAAAATCAAATACCTGGGTGTGACGATCTACAACAAAGGTGAATGCAAGGAGGAAATGAAGATTAGAATGCAAAAAACGAAAAGGGCGTTCTATATGTACATGAAAATTTGGAAGTCTAAAGAAATATCGGTTTTTATGAGATTGAGGTTATTCAACTCAACGATCATCCCCATTTTATTATACGGAGATGACATATAGGAAGCTAACAAAACTGACTTAAGACGTACCCAATCTTTTATAAACAATTGCCTGAGAACGATTAATGGTATTTTTTACCCCAAAGTCATCTCTAACTCTATCCTCTGGATGAAATCTAGATACACTCCGATAAATATTACATTAAAAAAACGTCGGATACAGTTCCTAGCTCATATAATAAGGAATTCCGATCACAACCTCGCACATGATGCTATTGTCTGGCTATACACACACAAAGGGAAACAGTATACTAAATATAAATCGTTATGGTATTATAAAGCTATCGTAATGGAGCTGAATGTAAACATGAAACAATTTATAAAGCTTAATAATTGCAAAAGGTCAATCAGAAAACTCTTTCGCATCAAAGATAGATATTTCAGATGAAAACGTTCCTGGGGATCTCTCGTTCACACATCTTTTCTTTATTTTCTATTTTGGTTATGTGGATTTATTCCTTTTTGAAAGTATTCTTCTTTAATTTCCCTCAAAAAATAAATAAACTAGCATTAATACAGTAAAACTTTTTAAAATAAATTATCCACCTCCCACCTTTAAAGTAATTAAATTTAAATGCAGTTCTTGGGTATAGGCTCTTTTTTGGTCCCGCTCTTTTCCTCAAAGCCTATAGACGTTTTAACAACATTTCTTAGGAATGTTGTGCGTACAAGTACGTGCTGCCCACAAACGTGTGGAGAGCTCCTCATATTTTTCTTTTCCCCCAAATTAATCAATTCCAATTAGATGGAAATGAGGAAAACCTAGCGTAGCTCTGTTGTGTATTCAACGATAGAGGGCGATGCGCTATATATCACGTATCACGTAAAAAGGAAAAGTGTTTTGAACGGAAAAAATTTATATATAATAAAAAGGAAAAAAGCGCGATTTTATAAGAAAGAAAAATATAAGTTAAAGAAAAATTAAAAATACCAGACTAAGTGGAAACTTGTTAGACAGTACCACTATTTTAGTATTTAATTTTTTTTAAAAAGTTCTCAGCAGGGCTGAGAATCCTATTATTTTACATAAACCCGAATTTTCTTGATTTAAAGGATCACAACCCTGGTTTTGACTTTGAGGTAGCTCAAAAGTGTTAGTAGGTTAACCGTTAAATCTAGTGTTGTTAAACGGCTAGATTTGAGCCGCTTTTTAAAAACGACTAACTCGATATTTTATCCAGAAAAATATTACTCAAGTCTTAAGATATTGCTTATATATGGTACATAGACATCTAAAAGCGAAATCTGGAGCCTTATGCAATATTTCTTTGGCTAAAATATTGAGTTAGCCTATTTTTTAAAATCGGCTCAAAATGAGCCGTTTAATAACACTAATTAAATCCCTACAGGAATGGTTCCTTTATACTATTTTTGAGTGTTTTATATTAACTAAAAAAAATTTAACAAAAGCAACTGTCTTTAACATTTAATGAACAATGGAAAAATATAATTGGACATTCGGGTTAATCTACAGGCAGGTTCGAGAAAATCCGTTTGAGTGTAAATTTTTTAAAAATTTTCAAAAAAACGAGATTTTTTGCAAAACATTTCCTAAACACGCGTTAATTTTATTTAATTCCTAACAAAATATGATAATAATTTACATATTAAAAAGAGGTCGTTATCGTGACATTTTTTTACTTAGTAAAAGTTTGATATTTCACGCACTAAATAAAAATTTTCAAATTCACAAGAAATTTATGTGTATTTAATTTTTTTTAAAAAGTGTTTAATATAAATTGATCTTGAAAACATTTATTTTCTTCTAATATAATTTGGTTTTCGCATCAATAAAATTTCAACTAATTGTAAAAAAACAGAAAAATTTACAATTATTTTGTTGAACATTTGGCGAACATGACTGATTTTTTAATAAACTCGGATAATTTTAGGACCAATTCGGACCCATTTTGGAAAATGGTCACAATTAAATTTTTTGTTAAAATTCTTGCAACAAAGATTTCAAATTTTTAAGCCCGAACCCAGGTACAGAATCTTGAAGAGTTTTTTAAAAAATAACATTTACAGATTTTTTTAAAAAAAACCTTCAAATTAAATATTTCAATTTATAGCTTTTTAGAGCACCCTGGAAGTCACTTCTATAAATCTAATAATATATCTAATTTTATAAATTTAATCTTTAAATCGTCGCCTAAGAATTAGATTGCTCCATCTCCATTAATTTTACAGGAGAACAATTTTATAAATTAAGTTTCTCTTATTTTTCAATATTATGATAAAACTTTATATTGGCTAAAATTTAACTTATTTTATAAATATTTCGATTTTTTTTACGTAATTAGAATAGTATTCTATTATTATAAAAAATAGATTTATTAAAAAATTATTTTTGATAAAAAGTGGATATGGAATAATCTTTCTCAGACGAGAAACGAAAAAAAACATAGTTGTAATTTACATTACTTTGAGTAAATAGGGAATAGTGACCAACTGCCTTGCATCCATGACATCAACAATTGGTTCCATTAATGCTACATCCCTGATACAGCTCATATCAAAACCATAAACATTTTCCCACCCTACAATTTAAACAAAATATTAAAAACTAAGTATTTTTTAAAATATACAATCAATTTTTTGTTCCTTGTATTGTTTGTCCTGAAGTGCTGATATAAAAAGGAATGCTTTATCTGGGAATATAGCACCATCTGGTTTCTTCGATAATTATTTCCAAAAAAATAATGTATATTATAATAAGGGTTTATTTAAATCATTGATTTTTTTTAAAAAAAGTCATATTTAAAAAAATATTTTATTTTATATTATCAAAGCTTTAAATATTGAGGTGAATACAATTTTTATGCCATAATTTATGTAAAATTTTAATTCATATTTAAGAGGAATTAATATTATATAAAATACATGAAAAAAATAAATATTTTACAAATATGAGAAAATAAAACTTAAAATTTGAGAAGATAGTGCTCAAAAACATTTAAAAAGATTTTATTTGCAAAGTTACAATCGTAGTTATGTATGGGTAATGTATAAAATATCTAGTAGCTAAATTGCTATTTGTATATATTATGATTTGAGAAATATTTTCATTTGTAGTTGCGATTCTCAAATATTCAACATAATCTAATAATTTAGAGTTATATCTAAAATCGTTATTTGATTTGATTAGTATTTTACGAATATGAATAACTGGTACAAATAAAGAAATACGTTCCTTGCAGAAATTTGTATATATTTATATTTTATTTCAACATCTATAAATCATGCTTTTTATATTTTGAAAATATTTTTAAGTTTTAACTATGAGCAGGACATTTCAAAGACACTTCAATCATAAAATCCTTAAATGTAATGCAAAAAAATCATTGAATATCAGATTGTGTTGGCACATTTGGTATAATAATTAAATACCAAATCACACATGCATTGCATATAACATGTACATACCAGTAATATATTATTCTTATCGATTAATATTAAGCACCAATTTTTTGTATTATATATTAAAATAGCCTGGTTATAAGTGTGTATATTACGAAAGTGTCATAAGATTGGGTTATTTTTAATAAGTAACCAATTTGGAATGTTAAAAACAAAATATTTTTAAGGAGGGGTTGATAGTTGCAAAATCATTCTATGATGGATTGGCCAAACCAATATAATTTTGAAAATATTTTAAATCAACAAATTCTAAACACTTCCTAAAAATAAGAATAAGTACACCTATAAGCATATTTCAATCATTTCATCTTATCAGGAAATCGATATATGTAAACCTAGTTATTTTTTTAAATTGAATGTTATTTTCAAATTTTTATTCAAATCAAGAACAAAAATTAAAATGCTAGGATGCAGCCTTATTAATTATAATAATGTTGTTATATAGCTAGATTTTTAAAAATAACTAATAGAATATTTTAGCTAAAAAATATGGAAGCCCAAAGATTTTGTTCATAGATAGCAGAAAGGTATGAACATCTATTTATGAAATCTTGAGGCTTAAATAATATTTTTAGCTAAAATATTAATTTTCAGAAATTGAGCCATTTGGCAAAACTAATTAAAAAACCATTTAATATGCTATAGTAGACTCTATTTATATTATTTTTTTAAATATGAGTTTAATTTTTGAAAAAGAAGTTAAGGTAGCAATGAAATAATATTCTTGTTTTAATCAATAAATAAAAAAATTACTCACCAGCCATTTATCCCTAGCAAACAAAACTGTTGGTAACATTGATTCATAGAATAAACAATACCCCATCCATTCACTAATAATAATGTCAACTTTGTCAAGATCAGGAATTTCAACTTCTTCAACTCTGCCTTTTACAACAGTTATAACTGTTTAAAATAAATATTGTATAATAATATATAATAAATTAAATTATTTAATATATAATAAGATAAATAGTAATTTAGGCCATAATATATAATGTACTGTGAGCTAGATTATTATCTTTGGTTATTTGTTCAGCATAATTAACAATACTTGAACAATCAATCTGAAATACGTAATTATTTTCTCATCCAAAATATATTTTAAAAAATAGCACTTACTGCATAAACTTTTTTGGCACCAGCTTGAGCAGCAAACATTGAAAGTATACCAGTTCCACAGCCTACATCCATCACTATTGAATCTTTGAACAGATGTTTATTGTATAATATGGCATCTCTATATGTAAAAGTTCGAACTTCATCCTTTAACATTTCCTAAATAAAAATTTATATAAAAATTAATTTAATAATCTACTTCATGAATACCAAAATGAGCATAGGAATCAAAATAATAATCCTTAGCAGTCATATCACTAGGTTTTTCAAACGTTTTACCGAGTATGTAGGGTAAGTGATTATAATGTGGAGCATTTTTTTTAAATTTAGGAATGCTGTTAGCCTTTGATTTCATATAAATTAGGAATAAATAAACAATTATACCATTAATATAAATTTCTCGATTTGTGCTGAATGAATGTAAATCCCCGGTGATCTTGAATAAATTATGATATTATGCGTCGGACGCTAAACGAGGTTAAATTAGAAATGAATAGGTAAACTAAATATACTTCGAATTTCAAATTTTACTTATTTATGGCCTGTTAATAAATTTAATCTTTAAAAGAAAATTAACAATTTTTTTTCTTATAAAATTTTTCTTAATTAAATATATAAATGGATGAAATCCTTTTTTCCTCCAATGATTTCCGTGCATATGATAGTACGAACACTTCATCGTAAAGTTATCGCAATTCAGTTATTGGTCTATTAAAGCGCGGGAACTATAATACTTAAAAAAAATTTAACATAATTATAGAAATTTATGCGTATTAAAAAAAATTCTTTTTGAGAGAAGAATTAATCCCAGTATAATTTTAAGTAAGCAATTTTGACTCGATTTAAACAATTTTATAATGTAATTCTAGAAAACAGAATTACTCGTGAAAAATTGATAATTAATACACAATTATCCATTGTTTTAATCATATAGAATAGCCTATCCATGGGATAATAAATTCCATATCATATTATTGTTAAAGAAATACTATTTGTTTGGGGCGAGGTATTCACAGTCAGTGTTTTGATTTCATTTAAAAAAGACTATTAAAATCAATTAATGATATAACTCTTAGTTAACCCAGACCCCTAGCCACGGGGAGAAGGGGGGTGGGGGCAAGCTCCAAATTTAAAAATAATTATTTAGATTTCAATTTTAATTCATCATTAGCGATTAAATCTAAATAAAAATACAACAACATTTTTAGAAATATGTTTTTTAATTTATACATATTAATAAACAAGTGGCTACTAATTATATTTTTTGTGGGGAATTATAAGATAATTTAATAGGAATCATTAATTTACAATGTTTTTCCTTTCTGCAGATAGCATTATTAATTGTATTTTAATGTAACTTAATGATTTAAATATTAATTCAGGCATATGATGTGCAAACGTCATGTCTGGCCAAAATGGAGGAGTGCAAACCCTGTTCCAAGGAAAATTAATAATAGGGCTCCTTATATAAACATACCATTTATTAGTTCTAAATTGGTATGATATTGTTATCATTTCTAATTTTTTATTTTATCTATCATTTTTTTAGATATAATAATGTATCCTGTAAATATACAGGTTATTCCTAAGCTGGTCATTTAGAAACATCTCATATCATTTATAAGATTTTGAAGTTATTGGTGAAGTACTATTTTACTTTTTTAAGTAAACTCTTAACTCAGAAATTTCCACTCATGATTCAGCCGAAGTCTTGGATCTTTTATCTCAATGTGTTAATATTATTAAAATATATTGGCTATTTTAATTTATGAGGTATTATAATAATAATGCCACTAAATAGATAACTAAAATCAATAGTTACATAGTAGATTATTGATTCCACAATCATTATATTAAAAAATAAAAGAAGAATTCTTTTGATTTGGAAAGAATTAAAACTTAGAAACTTGTATCAAAATCTTATCTCATTCCTTAAATATTATCAAGGGCACGTAGAACGCCGTCAAATCTTCAAGATTTTTTAGTCAATGCCAAATAACAATTTAATTGTGAATAAGAGTCTTATTCATTAAAAAAGATTATTTTATAGTTATTTAGATCGTTTTAGATAGATTTACACAAGATGATTATAATCTTCTATCAGGTTTTAATAACTTTGACCTTAATTATTTTCAATTAGATAAAATGCCCCCGCTAAAATCATTATTAAACTTAAATTTTTAAACCTTACATTATGAAATAAAAATAACAAAAGGATTTTTAACTGCAAAAGTTAAAGAAACATAATTTTGAAAATATCGTAAATATTATGTATAAAAATTTTTTTATCTTGCATCTAAAGAATTGTATAAATGCTACCTAGCAGCCATCATCACATAGGCGTAGCCAGGGGAGGGGACAAGGGAAAATTCCCCCCCTTCAGAAATTTATCACTTTTTGTAAATATCATTTTTAGCTAATAAAAAATATCCCCCTTAGTCCTCCCCCCACTCTCTGACCCTCAAATATGTATGCATATATCTTAAATAATATTTAAAAGAAAGATTGTAAAAGTTGATATTTTTTTATAAAACTATTCATCATAACTTATAGATTTTGGGGAAAAATAAATTTATAAATATATAAAATGAACCAAAAATGTTTTTTAATAAATGGAATATAAGCCAAAGATAAGTCTTAAGACAGAAGTGAAATGTATTATAATTATTAATAATAGATCCATAAAATTACTAAATAATATAATATATCAAATATATTTTTTTATAAAGTGAGTAATTTTAATTTATTTATCTTTATAAAAGTAAAATATAATTATAAAACTATTGATAAAATTAAATCATAAATTTAAAAAATATTAAAGCACAATACAAACAGTGGAATATTATATGACGTAGATTTACAGTATATCTAATTATCAAATGACAATCAAGTAATTTTTACCAATATAGCGAATTATATATTTTACAGAAAACAATAAAATATTGATAAGGACATCATAAAATATCTTAAGACATTGTGGGATGAATAATATGAAAATTAAATTAAATATCATTTTTACTTAAATTAAATAGATGGCGTTAAATAATTGAATGCAAATTGTTGCTATATTTAATATCAAGAGCATTGATTAGTAAAATTTGTTAAATTATTAACTGTAATATATTCTCTAACTGTCAAATATGTCTGTAAAAGTGGAATTTTACCTAGTATTTTATAACTAATTCTATATAATAGAGAAAAATCAACTATATGTCTTTACTTATTATAAATAAATTTCTTATAATTGTTTGGAATAAATCATTACCATGCTTTTATATTAAGGTATATACAATACAAGTAATTTATTATATTTTTATTTTATATAAACTAATAAAAATATATTTCATATTTGTTCCAAGCTTATTTTTTATTAAAATTTGAATATTTTATAACAATATATAGACTAAAGTAACCCGGCCGAAGGCCTGGGTTAAGCGGGCTGAAGACCCGCCCATAGAGGGTCTGGAAGCGAAGCCCCCAGTAATTTTTTTATTCCCCCCCCCCCCTTATGAAAATCCTAGCTACGCCTATGCATCATCATGTATCAAAGGCTCTTTTCGGGCCTCATTCTCTATACTAGAGAGAGTAGCGAGTATTCGAGAATCCATGAAAGATCGACGTAAACAAAATTTAGCATTAATGACATATAGGAAAAAAATAATACAGAATTTAGCATTAATTCTTTTAGGTTAAAATTTAAAACTAGAATCGTCTACATATTTTTAATATAAATAGCAAAATGGTTATATCAATGCCCAACTATTTATTTTACTTCATAAAAATATCCCCCCCCCCCCCGAGTAAACAGCACCCCCCCCCCTCATTCAGCTGGAAATTCCTGGCTATGGCCCTGCACAAACGCCCCATACAATTATAACTACTTTATAAATTTTTATAAACAATTTAATAATATAATTACTCAATCTCAACTCTTGAATAATTTCTTAATGGTCAAATATAAAACTGACCATAGAACTGATATTGAATTTAAAAAATTCATTACTATAAATATTTTAAAAAATTTATAGTGATTTTAAGAAAATAATCACTATTCGCAATTATCGTGGTATTGCTTTCGCGCTTTTCTATAATATTAACTTCATTAATAAATTCGCCATATATGATTTATGAATTAGTTTTCGCTATAGTCTTCGCGATTTGGGTTTCACCTTCTCTATAATATTTTTATATATATTGGCGATAAAGGTTGGGTTTCACCTTCTCTATAATATTTTTATATATATTGGCGATAAAGGTTTCATTGTTATGTATTCGCTCTAAATACATCTCGATAAAAGTTCTGCTATAAAAAATTCTCGATATGGTATTTTCTAAATATTCTGCGTATATTGATTCAAGAGAAAAGTTTACCTGTAAAATTTAACATTAATAAATATTTGGGATAAAAGATTAATGGGTTTTTATTGTAAAAGTTTCGATGTCTTAAGGGTTTATTAAATTTAAAATCTGCATTGAGTTTTAAATAAATCTTCAGAAATTATTTGAGCATAAATCTTTGGAGTTTAATTTTTAATATAAATTGCGATTCAACTTGAGAGATTTCAATATGTAGAAATTGCAAAATATTTAATTATATAAAAAAAGAACTTTATAAAAACAAGATCGTCTTTATATTCTCTGTTATTTCGGCACAGGCGGCGGTTTTCTGGGTAATTTATTTTCTCCGAAATTTTCCCCTGGGAATTCTTTTTTATGGGAATTTTTTTGTGGGATTTTATTTTTCGAGGAAATTTTTTTTCTGGGGTATTTTCCCAGTGAATTGTTTTTTACTCAAAATGAAAAGAAATAATGACAAATTAAGTCCATATGAAAGATTGAATAACCAATATATTTTTAGGGTTATTATTTACATGTTAAAATTGTAAGCAGAATTCCAATTTTTTCTTTGTTTATCTGCTTTTCCCTTCTTTTCTTCTGCATTCCCCCATTCTTTCCATTCCCCATTTTTCCCCTTTTTTCCATTTCCATTTCCTTTTTTTTCTTTTTCTTTTTCCTTTCCTTGTACTTTCTCTTTCCCTATTTTATTCCCCTTTTCTTTCCACACATTTTCTTTCTCTTTCCCCTTTTTTTCTCTTTCTCATTTTTTCATTTTCTTATTTAATCATTTCCTTTCTCTTTCTCCTTACCTTTCCTTTCCTCCCCTTTTTTCCCCTTTCCTCCCCTTTCTTATTTTCCTTTCTTCTACTTTTACTTTCACATTTTCATAGGTGATCCAAAAGAAGTCTTTTACTTGTGACAAAGAATATCGATCAAAATTTGCCAATTCAACTGTACATCTATACATGAGTCATTAAACCCCACTAACCTAATCGAAATAACAACCCTAAATGATATGAAATTATACATTTTTCCTCTCCAGACGACCGCCCAGATTTATTTTGTCGCCTTTTCCATCAAAAATTAAAATGTTAACAAGGATTTTCTCTTAATTTTATCAAATACACAAAATAATAATTATTACTCATTTATTTTAAAAAAATTAGCCTAAATTTATATGTAAATAAAAAATATTTCCTAAAAAAATATAATAATTTGCATATAAGTTTCATTAGTGTTTAATGACATTTTTGTAATTTAAATAGATAGCAGTTATTTTTTCTTAATATAAAAATATAGACAAATAATTTCGGAAATGCAAGACATACATTAAATTTATCTGAAAAGCAACAATAACCCTATATAATAAATAAACATTTATTTTTTAGATATAATTTTAATTGATCAAAAAGTATAAGAGTCGGTTATTTTTAATTTATTTGTCATGATTCTCTAATAAGTTGCCCAGGTCTTCCCAATTTCCCTTAATACGAAATTCACATGTTTTTTTTTACATCTTAGACTAATTGGTAAATCAGATATTTCCCCTTGATATATCAATTAAAAATTTAACTATCTCCGAGATAGGAAAAAATTTTTAAAATTATATTGGATACCACTGGGCTTATAACCTCAAAATTAACATTAGCTTGCACCTGACTTTGGAATATCTTTTACAAATTATTAAAGGTTGAGCTAGGCTTGATAAACTTTTATATAATTATAAGATCTTAGATGCTTCCTAATATTGTGAGCTTGGACCTGGCATGACATCTATCGTAAAAAAATGAATAAAAATCTCAATATCTGTCATTTTTGACGGGCTTTCTACTATAAATATATATTGAATATATTTTTTATAGATATGTATGTTACTATCTATAATCAAAAAGTTGTCCTATTTTTTAATATTGAATTTGAAAATAGACATAAAATTTATTTAATTTAAGCTAGTAATTCAAATATATTGTATTTTGTAAAGATTTCAAAATGTAGCTTAAAACTTTCAATGAAATATATTTTTATCAAATATTTTTCAACTATGTTATATTATTATAATAAATTATAAAATAAGCTAAATTTATATATCACATTCTCTTTAAATTGAACTGATCATCTTAAATCACACTATAAAATATTACACCTAATGGTCAAAAAAAGCCCTTTTCAATATTATTATTAACGCCATCTGTACACCCTCTATAAACATGGTGTGATAACACATGCTGCAAACTTTGAATAAAAATTTGCAACATCAAATATGCGCCGAAAACTCTATTAACTCATACAATTCTTGTGTATTAAAATTAATTAGGAATTCTTTAGATGCAAAAGCATCAGTATTTCACTTAGATTTAGATCCTTCAAATTTTTATATCAAAATAAAAGATAATGGCATAGGTATAAGTCTTAAAAATTTAGCTAAAGTTGGTGAAAGGTAAAATAATTTTTAAATTGTAAAATATAATAACTCCTTAAGATATTACACAACAAATGAAATACTTAAAAACGTAAATCGTGGGGAAACATTAGCTAATATATCTAGCTTGGCATCAATATTGCAGATAAAAACTCGTGAAAAATCAAATCCCTTGACATATATAAAGATATATTGCCAAGGTTAATTCTTATGCTTAAAAAATTATTTTTTAGTCATTATCAAATTTAAAAAAATCTTATTCATTATTTTCTTTGTTATTGATATTTATCCTTTTTATATAATAAAAAAATGCATTAATGCTTCATTTTTTGCAGTTAACACCAATCTAATACAATTGTATTAATGGTCAATATCTAATGCCAATTTTTTTTTATTAAATATAATACAAAAAAAAACAAATTTATGTGGAAAAATATATCCATCCTTCAAAAATAATTTGTTATTATTTAAGCCATAAAAATGTCTTCCAATATTATTGGAACCTGTACTCATAATTAATTTTTATGCATACTTAGACCAGCAGAGGTACCATTTGCATTGCCTGGCCTGGATTTTTTATAAATAATTTTTTTTAGCCCAACTCAGATTTTTTTTTTTAAAAAATTTTCAGGCCTGCTGACCCAAATTTTAAATAATATTTTATTTATTTTTAATTTTTATAGCTAATAATGGCGATTTAAAGTATTTGGTTTTAAAATATATAGCCTGGTCTGGGTATTTAAAAAAAAATTCAGCCTGGCCTGGGTATATTTAAAAAATATAAAAATATGGCCAGTGTACCTCTGCATAGGTCTCTGATATTTATTCTTCATAATAAGTTAATATTGCAACAAACAAAATTATAAAAGGAAAAAGATATAGAAAAAAAAATTAACAACACTTTCTCTCCTGTTTAGAAATGTATAGATCAAATTTTTTTTTCTTATCAAATCTTGGTTTAGCTCATGTAGTACATTTTTAAAAACCGGTTAACTGTTATTTATTGCTCTGGTATTGAAAAATAATTTGTGCCAATATTTTTCTGATATTAAAAGAAAACTAACTATTATAAATTGTATATAACATCTCAAAATACTGATATTACATTAAACTTGTTATAAAAAAATAATTATAAAGAGATGTCAGAATCAGGCAATCAAAATTTGTTCTGGATTGGATCAGCAAAAAATTGTCAAAAAATGATCTAAAATATATGCTCATTTTATCAATTCTGGCTGACTCTTCCTTAAAAATATTTTTGTTTAATAAATTATTTTAAAGTTTTGTTAACATTCCAAGATGATTATGCACTAAAAATTTACTGCCTATCTTGTGGCAAGTATGCACATTTATAACCATATAAATATTGGTATAGTCCTAGTTAAAATTAAATCAATTCATATTTTAATGTAATATTTTTTTGTATATCAGTTCCATGATTAATTAATTTAAGAAGAAAAAAAATGATTGAATTTACCCATTTTAATATTTAACGCAAGTTTGAGACACTAAATTAATATTTATTTAATCGAAATTATAATATACCACAATGAATAGGCAAAATATAATAAATAAATATTAATTTACTAATATTCTATAATTCAAATATATGGAATATTATTTTGTGAATAACAAAATAAAATAACTTTTGAATAAAATAATGATTACGCACGATAATAAAAAAATATTTGTCCACCAATATATATAAAATATATATCACGCCCTATTAATTGAAATCCAAATATCGCACTCCCATCTTCCTCACTGGCCATTGCCTTTGCTTTCATCCCATAAGACTGTTATTTTTCCATAGTTTTATCCATCATTAGCATTAGTATTGCCCCCTACTTTCGTGAGGTTCCTCATTTTTGCCGTTTGTAGTAACGATTACCTTCCCCTCGTCAGTATCAACTGTGTCGGTGTTGAACATAACTATTCCCATAAATTGCCCCGCGTTGAACTCAGCTACATCCATAGATTGCCACACTGTTGAGCATAACCCTAGTGTTGTTAAACGGCTCGTTTTGAGCCGATTTTTAAAAACAGTTAATTCAATATATTAGCCAGTAAAATATTTTATAAGCCTCGGGTCGTTCCATGACAAATCAACCACGATTCGGCCGACCCCCTTCGATTTTTTTAAAATTTGGTAAGCAAAGAAAGGGTAGTGTAGTTAAGAAATAGCCAAAATTTTAGCCTCGTATCATTTATATTTTTGGAGATATTAGGGTTCAAAGTGGCAAAAATGACATATTTTTACCATTATCTGCCTTCATTCAATTAAGCATATCTTAAAAACTACTTAATTGTAAATAACAAATTTAATATCAAAATTACGTACAAAGATTCTACTTTTAGATAAAAAAAATTTTTTAATTTTTTTTTCAATTTGCGGTCATTTTATTTAATATATAAGGACTAAAAACAATTTTTTGGAAATAATACGACCTTTAATTTTTTAAAAAAATTTAGTAGACATTATTAAACTCTTTCTTTATATTTATAAAAAAAAATTAATCTGGGACGCGGCCATCTTCATTCTCAAAATCGATAAAAATGTTTAGAAAAGTGTATAAATATTATCCCGAAAGGGGGCGTCTTTGTACAAAATTATATATTAATCAGTTTTTAATGGTTTTTTTTGGACTATTTGATATACTTTAAAGGATTATTCATCTTGTAAGTGAAAATAACAATAAATGGGGCTTTCATTCAATTATAGAAATTGTCTATCGATAAAATAAATTCAATTTATTATAAAAATTTTTGCGCATATAACATATATATAATGAATATTAATAAAATATGTTCAATTAAGTTTCGAGTTCTTGAATATATGAATCAGAATCTTGTGCATTTCATATATGGCGCCCTAAATATTAAAAAATTGATATAATTTAAATTTAAAAATCTAATAAACAACTCACTTTTAAAAGATTCTAATTTTTTGGTAGCGCATTTACTTTCTTGTGACAACAATGTATAACTACGGCCAGTAGCAGTTAACAGTGGAACTAATGTTAAGATATGACATTTGGGCAAGTAAAGAGTGTCGTCTATACTTGGAAATGTAAAGGAATTAGAAGGTCCGGATGGTTTAAAAACTTTATATATATTTCTTCCTGCTTTTAATTTTTCACTAAAACAAAGCTAACCACCAATTAGAATCATAAGGATACGTTAGGTATCCTGATATTTCTTCAATAATTATACTTTCATCATTATATGATAACTATTCTATAGTACTCTCTATTGAATTGGAATACATTTTACTTTTAAATTGATGTAGATCTGTTGGAATCAAGGTGTTTATTTTGTGTGTTCCAGGTATAGATCTAGTTTTTGAAAATCTTTCCCTGAGTAATAGATCTTTGTAATCATAATTTATTTTGGTCATCTATTCTAGATATATGACATTAATATTTTCTTTTTTAACTCGTACAATTCATATGATGTGGTTATTTACTTTGAGTAAGGCCTTGTAAACTAGCTCTAGCGGCTAATCTTTTAACAGTGCTACCAATCCCATCACAAACACTTTTCCTGTGTGCTATAGCAGAAAAATGCCATTTCGCCTGTACCCCGAAATCCATCTCATGATGGCAAATATTAATAAAAATTTTTACTTATCATCGGAAAAATAAAAAATTTACCAATGTTTTTTTGAAATTATGTACTGCTATTGTATTGTGTTGCAAAGATTCGGATATCATTACATAATTTAGGCAACAAATATTGGCAAAATTATCTTTATAATATATAACAAAAGGGTGAGCAGTGGATTGAGCCCTATTCCAATGATAATTTTATACTTCATCATGAAGTATAAAGCTTTTCTTAAAAATCACATAAAATAAATATTGGTCTTAATCTAAGTTCAATTTTAGATTGTTTTGATACAACGATTGTTGCGTTAAAATAAAAAAATGGAGTAATAAAGATTCCATTTTTTCAAAAAAGGCATTGATAAATTCACCTACTGTGGTTATTGTTTCAAGAGTGGTTCTATCTACGGATAGCCATTGTTTGTATGTTATAAATTCGATGTCCTTAGAACGAAACAATATTTCTATTTGATCGCGTAAATGTGTTGACCCTGGACAATTATCACATTTGCCCATATAAACTGGATGGTTGAGGCGGATTACAAATTATTAAGTGTAAAATATGTTTGTATGTTTTAAAGGGCAACATATCATTGGTTAAATTTGATCCAATGATCATTAATTTAAAATTTTGGTGTTAGCTGCAATCACATACATGTGTACCACTACCTCCAACGAGTATACAATTTTTGAGCGAATGCTTGCAAATTTTGAAAAACCAATTTTAACATCAGGCCTCATTTCTTTAAAAAATATATAAATTTCTTTCATATTATCTAAAATTAATCTCTTATGTATGGTATTCTTTTTTCCGTCTTTGGTCAAAATCGAAACGCAATCTTTCTTGCCTGGCATGATTCTGCTTATTTCGTCCATACAATAAAATTCTTGTACAATTTTAGCTGTATATTCGTCTATAGTTTTTCCAGGCTTGGGGTTAGGTGTTGATAGAAATCAAAATACCAATAAATTAATTAAAAAATGAATTAATATAGTGAGCATGTATTATTGAATGATTAATCAATTTTAAAATTTTTATTTATTTTATTGATTGAAACACTTATTTATTGTTATTCTAATTTAGTAAGGCTTATGCCGATTTTAGAAAATCCGATCCAATATTTATATTGTTTTGGGTTATTTTATGATAATACTTTTATTTTGTATATAATTTCATAATAATAATAAATTAATATTTGTAATATTTTAAAAATATCAAATTATTTTAAAAAATTGAGTAGAGAAAATTTTGATATTATTTTTTGGCGTCTATGAAATGCACAAGATTCTGATTCATATATTCAAGAACTATAAATTTGGTTAAATATATTTTATTAATATTCATTAAATATATGCTATATGGGCAAAATTTTTATAATAAATTATAAATAAAGTAATAAATTGAATTTATTTTATCGATAGACAATTTCTATAATTGAACGAAAGCCCCATTTATTGTTATTTTCACTTACAAGATGAATAATCCTTTAAATTATATCAAATAGTCCAAGAAAAACCATTAAAAACTGATTAATATATTATTTTATACAAAGACGCTCCCTTTCGGGAAAATATTTATACACTTTAAACATTTT